ACCAGTTCAGTTTAGAAAGATTTGGACACTGGAGAAGAGCTTCAGGATCTTTTTAGGCTATTAACATTTCAGGAACTTCGTTAGAAATTACATGAAATGATACAATAGCCTGGCAGTTTCATGAAAACAGGTTTTCATTTGGAAATCTCTGGGCCTGAGTTCTTGTAACTTAATTGGTTTAACTATCTCTATATGAACTAGCAAAATTGTCATTTCGGGAAGCAAAATTTGTTTAGAACTTCTCTTTACATTGTTTCAGATTTGTAGGACAAAAAGGAAATAACCTAAAACTCCCAGCTGTTATTCTTGGGCTGACTGCAGCAGGAAACCCACTCAGTGTTATCTACCCTATGCTGAACAGTTGGCCAAAACTTACTGCGTATTATTAAATTAAAATACAAATGAGCAATTTTGTGGGCTCCCAGGGGAAAGAAAGCACTGTTAATGAGGCAAGTAGGTTTTGTTTCACACAACACTACTTACTTTCTGAGTTAAATCATACAGCTTCAAGGTTCCAACTATCTGCAGGGGCTTGGGCTAAAAGCTGCACTAGAATGCCAGGTCAGTGACAATTTAAGTTACACTTGGGACTGAAGTGGCTAAAAAGCTGTCAGACAGTGGTGGCCCATTAAGGGGGGTAGTTTCTGACAGACAGGTACAGCTGTAACACCTTCAGATGGTGTTACTTTTAATAAACTTAATGGATTCCCTTGAGACCTCAACCAGAGGGAGGAAGGTCAGACCACAGGCCTTGCTAAATCACATCAGAAGAAGCAACTGTGAAGGAACACAAACAATTTTCCCTCCCTGCCCAATCTATGACCTAATCTGCTCTATTGCCCTGTCCTACAATAAAGAACAAGCTTGAAACATCAAATCTTTAACTACTCCAGACCATCATCCCAAGACAAGATAAAAGTATTTCAGCAAGGTAAGCACATATGATGTTTCCTCCTGTGCTTCCAGGCACCAGCCTCAGGAGCTCTGGGACTTCCTGACCCAGACACGACTTACAGAGATTGTGTGTTTGTCACACCAGTTATTTCCCTGTTAAAAAGGCAATGGGCTTTCCTCCTCTGGCATGAGATCCCCAACACAATCACACTTGGCGCTGCGACCCAAGATGTCATACTTACACTGGAAACATTAACGTAAGGGTCAACTGGGATCTCAGGAAAGGTGTTAGTTTTCTTTTACAGCAAGCACAAAGTTATTTGATGCAACAGATGTGGGTAGTGAAATGAAGAAATTCACTGAACAGTCAGAATCCAACATAACTGTTCAGCAGGTATTCTTTATTAGCAGTGCTGGGGTCGCCCTGGGGATTCTCCACTAGTGAGGGACATCAGTTTACACACATACAAATCATACATACTTGTTAGATTTCCTGGAAAGGGGTGTCTTATCATAATGAGTTCCCGGAATTAATTTACATAGTCAGAGCACTTGTAGTAAAAATAAGAATGAGGGTCTTTGGTGCTCAAGGGAAGTACCTGGTCTTCTTCATGGTGTCTGCTTGTGCTGTGAAGTAAAGTCCAGGTGTCTTCTTCTTCCTAAATCAGCAAGATCACCCTCCCTAGATGGTATCTTTGGGTCCTTTTGTTCGAGTTCCCCCCTATCTTAATTTGGCCAAGTGCCCATTGAGGGCTTTGAGTCTGCCCTCAGTGAGTTATACAAGGAGCATTTCACTTTTGTCTAGACGGAGGTGGAGGGAAAACAGCTGAGGAGTCCTTGGGAAACAAACACAAGCAAAACTTTACTGCATCAGAGTTTAGTCTTAATAAGAAATTATTTGGTTTGAGCCCTTTCAGTAGAAATGTGGACACAGACGTTAAATGGCCTGTCTACACAGGATAGACTCTTGGTGTTCCAGTAACTGTGTAGTGCAATTAGCATTCAAAGAGCTAACACAGCTTTTGGAGCTAAGAGACTAAACCACTCGTGGTTGCATGGTGCGCATGAAAGGGGAAAAGGTAACACTTTGCTTAGCACATGCGCCTAACCTGGGCAAGAGCCCCTTGTACAGCCGGGACAGGGCTGTGGCACGCGACGGAATGAGACCGGGGAGAGGGGTAGTTGCAGCAGATTTGCGGCAAAGCGAGAGGCGGTGACAGGGCTCCTTCCCCTGGCGTGGAGCTCGGCACTCGGCCGCCGGGAGCACCCCGACGGCTCTGGGCTGTCCCCAAGGTGGCTCCGGGCACGCTGCTGAGCCGCCCCGACACGGATGCAGCT